CAGTACCACCATCTAATTTATCAAGTCTCGGCCACATCGTGATGTTACGCCCATCACAATTCACAGTTTCGCGACTCTAAAGACAGCTTCACATAAGTTTGCCAACACACACTCCAAAATGTTGCCAACTTGTGTTTCCACAAATGTCTTGTTGCTCGGTTTCTTTTCGTTTCCATAAATGCTGATGCCATATGGATCAGATGTAAGTAATTTGTATTTTTTCATTCCTCTCCATTCCCCATGATGGAGCAAGGATGAAAATAATAGCCTTCTTTTCATCATGAATACCAGATTCTATGTAATAGTCTGATCCCATCTCATTTTGGTTACAAATAATGTTTCATACAGGAAAGACCAAATTTGTTTGTAACACAGTACCTAAAGAAATTACAAGCCAGACAGACAAACAGGAATTCTGCAGCCTCCGAGGTATCAATGTCACATCATCACGAGTCGTGTCACTGATACATACAGAAATCAATATGATGATGAAAGAAACTGTAAAACCTTGTGTAGGCCTCTGTCTGTGATAACAACTAACAGTGATGCTAGAAATGATGAAGAAATAAAAGCGACAGAAAAGGCAGAGTCAGAGTCGACTTTATCATGAGGTGTGTATGAATCGCTATCAGATTACTGATGATACAATGTGTGAGTGTATCCTGCCCATCATAAACACATGCAAAGGCTAGTCAATTGTTCTTCCGAAAAAAAATGGAGGAATCTATGCTTAAAATATGGAATTACATCAGGCATAATTTTTATCATCAATGTGTTAAATGTTGAAATTTCCTCCTGGTCGGGCTGGGAAACATAGAAGTTGAGAGAAGTGACTTCGATTTAGATGCCAAACACCTGATGCAGCTCTTATGCTTGTTTTTCTCTGTGACCAACATTAGGGCAGTTGGGTAGCCTTGTGGTTGAAACGTTCACTTTTCATGCTGAAGACCCATGTTTGATTCCCCACATGCATACATTTGTGTGAAAACCATTTTTAGTTTCCGCTGCTGTGATATTGCTGGAATTTTGCTAAAACCAGTGTAAAACCTCACTCACACACTCACTGAGACCAGCATCATTCTGACAAGTTTGAAGTCACTCGTTGTCAGATGTCATCACAGCATCACTGAAAAGTACAGAAATTCTACAGATCCTCTCATCCACAGCTATACAATTTTACAGTCAAAACAGCTTCACCAGAACATTCCATGCACTTCCTACATCCACATACTCATACAATGTTTCATCGTCAAAACCGCATGTACTGACAGAGTGATCCTTTAAGAGATTTGGTTATATCTCACAACGAACCAATAGCATGTACTGACAGAGTGATCCTTTAAGAGAGTTGGTTATATCTCACATCGAACCAAAAGCAGGTACTGACAGAGTGAACCTTTAAGAGATTTGGGTATATCTCACATAGAACCAATAAGTTTAGGGTTACATCCCCCATCATTCATCTTCCTCAGAAAACGACTGTCTGGGATGAGTTATAAATATGAAAAACAAATATGGACTCTGGAGAAATTGTCAGGAACCATCCATATCCCATCTACAAGTCTACAATGAATTCGGTTCGTTCATCCACTTCTCAGCGCCGACAAACAGATTCTTTCCATATAACCCATATGGTAGAGTTTAATGGCCAGGAACTGTACTGCTTAGTAAACAAGGGGTCTTAGTCTAGGAGTCGGAATGTTGGCAGTTCCAATAGGAAGAGAGTGGTGGTAAGTGGAGTGTGATGGCGGATGTCAGCGTCTCCTTCGCTAAATTGATTGGGCAGACTGATGGGCAATTTCCCTTTGGCTACCAAGGAGAGATATGTTCGGCTTCGTTTGACACACTGTCAAAAACAAGCATGGTGGAACATATTTCCTGGGGGTGAGGGTATAAATGTGTAGCTATTCATCACGGAGAAGTAGTTTTTATTGCCAAGTTCTACGAAGAGCTCTTTGAAATTTGGGTATGAGTTGATGCATTCTTGTCTGAAGCTGTGTGTTTCTTAGCCGGCCTCTATGGGAGGTATTGCTTGGAAGAGATCAAGCGATCTCGCTTTGGAGATATCTCCACAATGAAGTTGCACCAATGCTTTGCAGATTATTGTGAGGTCATCGGTTGCCATGACATCACAATCAAATGACATCAACATTCTCTGCCACTGATACTAGTTTGGGCACTATTAAAATTCAACCAGTTATTACTGTATACAAATTGGAAAGTTGGAAGAATAAGTTTTGGTGATAAATAGAACCTTACTTTCAGATCATTGATTAAATTTATGTCAACCAATGACAATAAAGTTTGCAACTCCTCAGCAAGATTTGAAGTATTATACTTTTGTTGCATCATGCTGATATACTGGATATCAAAACACAGTTGGTACCATTCTTTGCATGGCCTGTGACAAAAGCTTTCATAACGTTGTCTTCATCTTCTTTTACTGTAGCATATTGTATAAATATGTTGTTTACTTTTACCTGATATGTAACACCACTGTTTGCTGTTGAGAATCTCCCCCCATGGATATACCACATACCTACAAATTTGGGTTCGAACTGGATGTGCCCTGATAACATTTCTAGGTTTGTTAGCACCGTACCTGTGTTATTCTGGTTTTACCAAGGTAATAGACATCTGAGACATGCATTACTTTGGGATTTCCTCCCACATTTAGCACACACACTGTTTTCTAATTGGAATGGGGCGGTGGGGTAGCCTAATGGTTAAAGCGTTGGCTCGTCACACCGAAGACCGGGTTCGAATCCCCACATGGGCACAATGTGTGAAGCGCATTTCTGGTGTCCCCCGCCCTGATGTTGCTGGAATATTGCTTAAAGCGGCGTAAAACCAAACTCAGTCAGTCAGTCTAATTGGAATATTGTTTAAATTAGCTCACCCACCCACCGAAACACCCAGCTACCAAGCCCCTTCCTCCTTCTTCCTGCCTTCACTCACTCACGCACCCACATGTCAAATTTGTTCAATCAATAATGTTATATTCATTTAATGGATTGGGTTTTTTTATTTGGATAATGGCTACTTTGTTTATAAAAAAGATGCCTTGCAAAGTGTTTTAACCTGTCTTGAATAATCACAAGCAATTATTTTTTAAATTATTTGTTCTAAAGATAACTTGAAAACTGTTTGATGGATTGTTTTCAAATTTGGAGAACAATTTCTATTTATCAGGGACAGGTGTCCTAAATGATCATCTTGCCATGCATACCTAACTTGTCCTGGGACACACACACCATCTCTACCTCCTTCCCCCCTTCCCTCACTCTCATTCACTCTCTAACTCACTCACTCACTCACTCACTCCCTCAACCACTCACACCATCTCTACCTCCTTCCCTCCTTCACTCACTCCTTCCCTCACTCTCTCACTCACTCACTCGACCAACCACTCACACCAACTCTACCAACACTATTACAAGTTTCCAGTATGAACACATCTGACATAATTGCCTGTCATCTCCATTCCCCTGTATGAATGACACGTTCACCAAGGCCGCTAAACACCCTATCAGATACCCATAATGATGTTCAGTGGAGCCAGCATCACTTACTAAGCCTCCCACTGATGCAGAGTGACCTAGAACCATTTATTTCCCCCCCTGGAGGCTGGCACCACGTCATCAAGCCACCAGTAGAGGAGGAAATGACCAATTTGGTGCCAATGTCCAGGAAGAGGTCATTTAGTAACAAAGATAAAGTCATTTGTCTATATTATTTCTATGATGATTTATTGTTGGTCAGTGTTGCTAGGCTGCAGAATCAGAGGAGTGGTCATACTGATAGGGAGTAGATGTGACCCGATATCCCGAAGCCAAGGGCTTACTTTTTCAAACAAAACCTTATGAACTGACCGAACATATACTTTAGATATAATTTTAATATTTTGTATTTACTGTTGAAATCAATTGGGATGCAACTGGCAGCCGATACCTTGCCTTGCACGCGCAATGCACGTGCTACCCATGTCCTGCCTGCAGTACCCGTCTTGTGAGGAACACATGGTTCATACTGAAAAACACGCTCATTCTTTACAGCGATCCTTCGTAGCCTAGTGGATAAAACCGCCAAGCTAGTTAGCGAACAGTTGCAGGTTCGAAACCAGGTATTGGCACATTATTTAGGAAGTTTTCAATAATGTGATATTTTATGATCGTATTCATTATTAGCAAGACAAAGTTATCAATCTTCAAAACAAGTAAAATAATTCAAAGTCAAGGGCTATTCCTCAGAAAATCCCAAGATTTCTTAGAGAATGCCCGTGAAACTGCCTGTAGAGGTTTCCTTGGTAAGAGGGAACCTGGCAAGACAATAGAGTGAAGTCACTGGAGGTTTATAGGCTGAGATATAGTCCCTGTAAATGTAGGGATGATACGTGGGTTTGGTTTCCAAAATGAGTAGAACATAGGGAGCCAGTTTGTATGTCAAGACGTTATTGAATATTGCTTAATGGTGGAAATTTGACATACTCTCATTTAAAATATTAAAAAGTCACCTCAATAATCTGTACAAAAAACCCAGTTCTAATGTTTAGAGTATTAACTATTCTGATTTCACATTTTTATCTTAAACAATATCATCAGAATAGGTAACTTTTGTAAGCGATATATACTTGTTATAAGAGCTGATAGTCGAGTGGTATCAGGTCCCTAGACATGGAGCATTGCTTTGATGTCTGGATGTAAAGTGTGTAAACATGATGTTTTTTAGGCTATTGATGACCGTGGAGCCAGGCTACACTTAACTATTCATTAATCTACTGATCTTCCTAAGAAGATATTCATTAGAATTGATCTTCAGTAACCCATGTTGGCGTAAGAGGCAGCTAATGGGATCAGGTGGTCAGGCTCGCTGGCTTGATTGACACATGTCATCGGTCCCCAATTGTGCAGATCAATGTTCATGCTGTTGATCACTGGATTGTTTGGTCTGGACTCTATTATTTACCACCGCCATATAGCTGGAATATTGCTGAGTGTGGTGTAAAACTAAACTCACTCACCTTGATATTCACCCAAAGCACTTACTCTTTGACTCACCATACACTCATTAACTCACTCACTCACCCTATTATTCAATCATTCAATCATTCACTCACTCACCCAACCAAACATTCACTCACTGACTTACCCAGACTCGCTCACCCACTCTGTCAATTACTCACTTATTCCTTCACCTATCCAAAGTCACTCAGTAACTCATTAAGACACTCATATACTCACCTACTCTTGCAATCACTCTCTCATTCCCCACCATATCAACCACTCACTCACTCCTCAATCCAAACTCTCCTTCAGTCACTTTTTCAAACACTCACTCACCAACAGGCCCACTCACTCACTCAGTGTTTGCCCTAGGCATATATATTTATGAGTCATTGTGACACCCTGGTGTCATGAGAGGGAGTCATGGACATGTTTTGGGGAGTCAAATAAGCAGGTTTTCTGCGTCCATGCATAAAAGTTTATGAGTCATCATGACTCCTTGTGTCATTAGAGGGAGTTATGGACATGTTTTGGGGAGACATACGCAGGTTTTCTGCGTCATGGCACACTCACTCACTCACTAAACAGACCTATTTGGGGTTAAGAATTAATCTATCGCCATCCCTTCAACATATGGCTAACTAATAACCAGTGCAGCTGACCTTGGATGAAGGAACAGACTCCATCCCCTCTGTTCTGCTACAAACCTTCGATCATTTCTCCATGACCTTGGTTGAAGCCACCATACATACCAAATTACTGCCAGTGCTCTAAGACATCAGTAATTGGTGCTACGTAAGCAGTCATGCAGTGGAATTGCTCCTCAGTCATCATGAATACCACACGGCATGTTGGATATACTCATTTAACATATCCCCCTTCGCATGTATTCACCATCAAGTTGTTCAGTTCTCCAGTATCATTGATTCACCACTGTATTTATAGTAGCATGTACAAGACTGGATTTACTGACTGTTTCTTGTTGAGGCTATAAGACCGCTTCCGTGGTGTAGTGGTTGGCGCCTCCGCCCGGAGAGCGGAAGGTCGTTGGTTCGATTCCCGTCCGCGTCATACCAAAAGACGTTAAAATATGGTGCTTGTTGGTCCCTGCCTGGCGCTCGGCATTAATGGGTACAACAAGGACTGGTCGGCTTGGAGTCAGTATACTCTGTCTGAGTAGGATATTCATGCTTAACTGCGGCATGGTATCTCCATGTGAGCTAGCACTATAAAACCAGCTTAAGTCTGGGCTAGTACAAGCAGCCGCACATACACATGGATGCACGTCGTCATATGAGCGAAATATTCTCAAGCACGACGTTAAACCCCATTTCACTTCACCTCACCTTGCTAAGGCTATAATTCAGTTTTATTCTGACAATATCAAACAGTGACAAGGAAGGAGTGAGTGAGTTTAGTTTTACATCGCTTTTAGCCATATTCCAGCAATATCATGGCAGGGGATACCAGAAATTGACTTCACACATTGTACCCATGTGGGGAATTGAACCTGGGTCTTCAGCATGACGGGCGAATGCTTTAACCACTAGGCTACCCCACCTCCCATCAAAGGAAGCAAAACAGATCTCCAAATTCTGAAAACGGAATTGTCAAACAGGAATTGAGTTAAGGACTGAGTTTTTGAAGAACTTGTTTCACAATCCCCAACCCAAAAGACCCATAAGATGTGAAAAATTGAATAAATAGAAAAGCCAGATGTTTGTATTCTGCCAACAAGAAATAAGTAAGATGTTAAAAACATGTCCGTCCATCATTTGTAAAACTGAATGTCTTCTTTAATATGTAAACTAATACGAAAATGTGATTGAAATATTTAATTTGAGTGAGTGACTGAGTATAGTTTTACTCCACTTTTAGCAATATACCAGCAGTATCTCGACATGGGACACCAGAAATAGGCTTCACACATTGTACCCATGTGGGGAATAGAACCTGCGTCTTCAGTGTGACGAGGGGACACTTTAACCATAAGGCTACCCCACCACCCTTTTGATTTGAGGCATTACCTTAGAACAACCTCTCTTTGTTCTGAATGACGACCTACATTATGAGATGGCTTCTGCCAGTTAATGGCCAATATTTCCTACCAACGAATACCACAGGAAATGACCAGTTTGGCCCGGGAGTTGACATCTTGTTAAATGGGGATCAACTAATTTTCTACATTTCTGATCCACTTCCTGTATAATAGATCCTGCCATGGAAACAAAATGTCCTGTATTTTGTAGACTTAGGCTGGTTATTATTGATGGAAATAGCCAATTCCTAGCTGTATTCTTGCAGGCACTGAGATCCGAGTTTGGGGTGTTATAGTATAGATAGCCAGCACACAGGATCTATATCTGTCAGACTTGGGCAGTCTGAGACTATAAATCAGACAGACAGTCCATCATCTAGAATATTAGTGAGTGAGTGATTTTAGTTTTACGGCTTTTAGCAAAATTCGAGCAATTTCATGGATGGGGACACGAGCAATGGGCTTCAAACATTGTACCCATGTGGGGAACCGAACTCGGGTCTTTGGCATGATGAGAGAATGCTTAAACCACTAGGCTACCCCACCGCCCCTCTAGAATATTAGACTGAGTCATGTCTGCTATAAACTTTCAACAATATCTCAAGTTACCTTTAACAAGCAAACAAACAGATTACAAAAACAAAAGAAAACAAAATTAATAAATTTATATTTGTTAAATAACAGATGTCAGTGCATTTGAAATACTCTAGAAAAAAGGAAAAATATCCACGTTCAAAAATGAATTATTAGCCCACCTCACTGAAACACAAATGAGCTTATGTCAGTTTACACTTATTACACAGGCTAAATCTTTAGATTTTTGTATGAGTGTCAAATGTAGGAGACCCACCACATATTCCTTATCCTTTGAAATATTAATGTTGACCATTGTTTGACATATTTCATTAACATATATGTTGAAATGCATGTTTTTTATTATACTTATATATTAACTGGCTGTTTCCATCAGTGATGACATTTTGTTCAAGGGCTTAATATACAGTAGACAATATCATCACCACAACTGTTACATTGATAAAACCTGCTCATGGCTAATCTTCCACAGTTTCAGTTCAAAATGTGATATATTGTTGTATGGGTTTATTGAGTTGTGGTAACCAATACATTGTCTGTTTTTTCCAAGTGTTTTAAATTTGATATTCAAATATTTCTGATATACTCTTAAATTTGCACAAAATGAGTTGGCTTTCTCTGATATTATTTTTTTCCACAGTAGTTATGCTGAAAATATTTACATTTCTATGCTTTTATTGAGTAGCTGTGTTTATTGACATTTAACTGGTCACTGCTTATGTAGGTGAGCTACAGTGCACTTTCTACAGAGACAAAATTACCCCCAAAATAATCCGTTTTTGCTTGTAAAAAGAAGCAAACTCATATTTGAAGACACTGTTTCTATGATATTGAACATACTTATGGATAACAACTTCTTATATTTCATGAGTGCTATAGAATCTTGTACCGTTGTATTTCCCAACTTTTAAAATGCCACTCAAAGAAGTTACTGTTTCTATTTCTTCTATTCAGTATTCAATTTGAAACCTCAATTCCATTCCTGAAACAACTGAAAATATTTATGCCTTGTATATTAATAGTCTCTATATTCCACTCCACTATACATTAAGAACAGGAGAAATTCAAACCTCATGGAGGCAATAGTATTTGGCTCAGAATGGGCAACTTTAAAAATGAAAATAATAGGAGTGTCCCTAGCAGTCTGAAATATCAACTTGTATGTGCCCATAAACACAAAATACTGACCCAGTATTCACCTAACAAAGGAATAATAACGTGTCTTCAATTGTCTTCGGTATTGATAAGAAAATAATTTCCAATCAAACAGTAACAATACCTTTTCCCTTACATCCCATCCCAAAATGCAATTTCCAAGCATACAGTAAATATACCTTTGTATATACATTGCGTATAAATTTGTTTGTTTACCTCTGACGATATGACATAGTTTTGACTGGACACAATAAACGAAATAGCAGGTATGCAATGCACATGGGAAACATTATTTTACTTGGCCTTTATTCCATATTATGTATAACGCTCGGGTCATCCATTGACCCGAAGACCAGCCTCATGGCAAGGGATGCCTGTATGTGCCACTCAAAAATGCAATTTCAAGCATACAGTAAAAATACTTTCTCCCTTATATCCCATCCAAAATGCAATTTCAGCACCTTGTCCATTGAGTTCCAGCTTGGAATCAATTTACAGACATCCCCCCAGATCTTCCTACTATTGGAGACACAGGAGCTGTGCGATCAGTTCCCATATAATTGCCTGTCATTTGATCCTGTGCGAAGACAGGCTAGGATATGACCAATTTCTCTACCACAGGTTTACCTCCATAGTACTAATGTTTTGGACTTAGTGTTATTACTGAGTACAGAATTGCAATTTGTTGTTGGTACAAATAGGGATTCTAATAGCCAAAGCCTGTCTCAGACTGGCTGAATTAATTTGTGGTCAGTTTATTAGCTCTATTGGCCATTGGGAAAAATATAGAGTGGTATAAGCCTATCTCAGACATTCTGAATAAGTTTGTGGTCAGTTTCTGAGCTCACCTTTCTATAATGAAAAAAATAAGGAATTGAATAAAAGTGTCTGTTTAGTTTGAAACTAAGTCAGAATTTTTAAGAACTTATATATCTTGGTAGTTACCACTTACCCAAGAATGATTAGCAACTTTGGCTGAAGATGATGTTAGTTTTATCACTTGGATGCTTGTAAGAACTGGTAAAATTATCTTGGTACCTACTGACACCAAGATATATGTCACATTGTATTAGAAATGCACAAGCAGTTACATGAACTGTTTGATAAGCTTTTCTTAAAAGTTGAGGGATAGTGGAGTAACCTAGTGGTTAAAGTGAAGACCTGGTTTGATTCCCCATATGGGTAGAGTGTGTGAAGCTGATTTCTGGTGTCCCTAACTGTTATAATGCTGTAATATTGCTACATGCATCTCACTCAATCACACTCACTCACTCACTCATGGCATCCAATATGTCCACTCATTCACCCACTCACTCACTCATGGCATCCAATATGTCCACTCATTCACTCACTCACTCATGGCATCTAATATGTCCAGATAACATGCTTTTGTCTATTCAGTTAAGCATTTGAAAGTGCAAGACATATAGTTTTGAAAAAAAATGTAAAACATCAACATAGGAGAGCTGTCTAAGTCATGCCTGGAACAGATTCAACTCAGTCTGCACAAAAGGCAAAATAGCAGTGAAAACGATACGGAGGGATCACTGAAAATCAGTGAGACTAATGAGACTGATGACACCAGATGAAAGTGAAAAGGGTCGCCATGTCCTAGCCTACCAGTACCACCTGCACTCACACAATCTGCACACAAAAACCGAGGATTTGTAGTCCAGTGCCACCAGCATTCCCACAATTTGCACAAAAACGCAATGCCCCATGCCACACAGCAGTACCACAGACCCATGGGTGATTGTGAAGCTTGAAACCTGTAATCTTTGCTTCACGCTGATGATACACACCTCATGGGCTGATCCTGATTAAGCTTGTCCCGAAGGTCTAAAGAGCAGGCCATGGATTTGATTACATGAATTTCACAGTCAGGGTTAGTGCACTAGCTAATTTTCAAAATTCAGGGTTGAAGATGTATTTTGCAATGTATTGTTAAAAATGTCCATAAAACTGTTACAATCGACAGCTATCTACATGAAATCCACCACCTGGGCCTTGCTCGACATAGATATCTTGTGGTAATACTGTCATCAGTCTATAGAAAACATTAAAATTGCAATTGTGTCAGTGCAGCAATTGATTTGTTGCACAAGACTGTACAGAAAACTTCCCCCTGATCATCTCTGAACACAATGTGAACAGACTGATCATATTTCCTGAGATACGTATGATGAATTTGAAATTCTAATTTCTGAATATTTTACATTTTCTGCTCACTTTGGGCCAAATATCAGCCTTTTAGCATATCTATATAAGTCCCTGTTATATTACATATACTTGAGAATATACAGTTAAGTGTTACATGAACTTCATCCAATATACATCATTAATGGCATTGGGTTTCAACATTATCAGTCGTGCCTAAACCCCTGTGGAATTTCTGAATACCAAATGGAAGAATATTGGAATACCAAAGTAAGATTAAATCAAATGAGCATGGGCATTTTTACCATTTGGAATACTTATAAAGCTGAGATAGCTTCATAGTCTAATATAGAATTGAGAAATGCATGAACCTCCCAGTGGAACTTCTTGAAGCTGGAAGCTGTTAATCTGGAAACCTCATCTTCCAGTTTTTGTTGTTCAATACAGCTCTCAGCAATATTCCAGCCAAATATAAGTAATAGAATATGGACAGACAATCCATTTTTAGAGTTTAAGAACAAAAATTAATGCCA